TGGTATCACAGAGAGAACCACTGCCCCCCAGAATTGGAGAGAGAGGCAGATACAAAAAAATCACGAGTTCCCATGAGGAAAAACCTCCGGGTATCCAGGACCAGAGTATAACCCCTAACAAATGAGCTGCTGGAGGATTAGCATAGACGAGTTTGAGAGTAAAACACCACGGGTCCAGTCTTAGGGAGACCCCACAGTTTTGCCTCCAGGAACTCTCCCATGTTCTTCAAGTGCAGAGCAGAGAAAAATCTCCAGTTTTTCAGCAATGAGTGGGGAATGGGAGCCATTTTTACATAACCCAGAGCATCCTGCTTCTTACAAAGCCTATCCTGAAGAGAAACTACTTTACCAGACCCTAATCAATGGGTTTTACCAGAAACTAACCAGCTCTGGGGAAGAGAATTATCTAACTCTGGCCTTCCATACAGGGAAAAAGACCCAACTCCAGTGCCCTCAAGCCTTTTTGCATGAACTAAGTAAAAACCAAAACAAAACTGAGAAGTACTGTGTTCAGCACAGCCCAGGGCAGACTCACTAAGACGGAAATCTAAGCACAGCAGCACATAAAGTTTCCTTCCCCTCCCCACCACCTCACCATCATCTGTAACACGGCTCCTATAGAACAGGGGAATATCCAAATAAATATAAAACCTCATAATAAAGACCTATTTACCTCACTTCCTTTTACCCAGTATTAGCATGTCTAATTTCCAATAAAAAATTACAAGGAATATTAAAAGCAAAATGGCAACAGGATTCAAGTATTCCATAATCTTTAAAATATGTTAAAAATATAATCCTTGAAATTATCAGAGATAAATTATATACAATAACTTAAATGTATAGGTAACCATAAAATCACTAAAGTACACAGTCATTTTATATTTAAGTAAATTACAACCTAACCCTTTAAAGTCAGGAGAAGCAAGGATGCTCAACCCTTAATGACACTACTCAACATCATAATACTGGAGTTCTTAGTCAGTGCTGTAAGGTACCAACAACCCAAAAGGTTTATGTATCAGAAAAAGCTTTAAAAATGTCACTATGTCGACATATTTAGAAAATATAAAGTTTTCAGTAAGGTGTCTGCATAAAAAATTGGTACATAAAATTATCGGTTTCCTATACAATAGTACAATCCAATTAGAAAATATAAAAGACAAATAGAATTTCATGCAGAATAGTAATATAAAATCCATAAAATATCTAAAAACAAATTTAACAAGCAATGTACAAAATTTACATGAAAAGGTCTATACAAATGAAGACACATGCCATGTTTCTCAATGAGATTACTCAATTTTAAAGATGTCACCTCTTACTCTAAATGTAATGCAATGCTAAATTAAACACCTATAAAAATGTGCATTATGAACTATCTCATACAAATAAAAACATGAATAAAATAGTAAGGGATCAATTAATAATCCACCTTAAAAAATAAGATGTTACCGCCGAAACCGGTTTGGCTCAGCGGTAGAGCGTCGGTCTGCGGACTGAAAAGTCCCAGGTTCGATTCCAGTCAAGGGCATGTACATTGGTTGCAGGCACATCCCCGGTAGTGGGTGTGCAAGAGGCAGCTGGTCGATGTTTCTCTCTCATCGACGTTTCTAGCTCTCTATCCCTCTCTCCTCCTCTCTGTAAAAAATCAATAAAAAATATATTTAAAAAATAAATAAATAAATAAATAAATAAATAAATAAATAAATAAAAATTAAAAAAAAAAAAAAAAAAAAAAAAAAAGCCGGGACCAGTTTGGCTCAGTGGATAGAGCGTCGGTCTGCGGACTGGAGGGTCCCGGGTTCGATTCTGGTCAAGGGCATGTACCTTGGTTGTGGGCACATCCCCAGTGGGGGGTGTGCAAGAGACAGCTGGTCGATGTTTCTCTCTCATCGACATTTCTGACTCTCTGTCCCTCTCAATTCCTCTCTGTGTAAAATCAATAAAATATATTTAAAAATAAATAAATAAAAATAAGATGTTACCAATACAGCGGAAAAAGATCTATGAAAGAGATCTCTTCTATGAAGCAGCAAAACACACTAACAGCAGCAATTAAACAAAATGATAGCATATGTGTAAACACATGCACCAAAAGAATAAAATGTATTTCAGAAATGGACTATTAAATATATGAAAGCATAGTATATAATAAAGATGACATTTCAAATTACTAATAAAAAGATTGGCTATTTAATGACTGCCTTTAGACAAAGAATAATTAAACCCCCACCTCACACCACACAAATCAACCAAACTTCCACACTTCACAGATCAAAGCCCTAAATATAAGAACCAAAATTATAAAAGAAAGTAGTGAACAAGAAGATAGTGGACAAGCAGCACCAGGAATCTGCATTGCCACCCAACAACCACAGGGGCAGACTGAGCCTGACAGACTCTGTTCAAGGCTTACAACCACCAGCGGAAGGCTTGGAAGGTAAACCAGTTAATTTCAGCCAATGTCAGCTCTTAGCACAGGAGCATTACCCATCAGCCAACTCTTGTTGTGTTCCCAGAGCAGCTCACACACAGCTATGGTAGCCAGAGTAGGCAAAAAGGACCCGGTCCTCCAAATATCTCCACTTCTGGGCACAGAGAAGAAAGAGATAGGCAGCCAGTGTCAGAACTTTTCACACTTCTTATCTGGCTGCAGTGACCTCCAGGGGATTTAAAAAGCTAGCACCTGTCTGGTGGGTGTCTCAGTGCTTGAGCATCAACCCATGAAGAACCAGGGAACCGGGCGGTCAGGGTTTGATTCCCGGTCAGGGCACATGTCAGTAGGGGTGTGCAGAAGGCAATTGATCAGTGATTCTCATCACTAATGTTTCCCTTCCTCACTCTGAAATCAGTAAAAATATATATATTTGTTTTTAAAAAGTCAACAACCCCTTTTCCTCCCTCCACCCTCCATTTTTCATATTTTACCCTTTGGGGAGCTAGACATAAGAGACTGAGACATTCAAAAACAACTGCATATATGAGGAAAATTAGAAATTGACTGTGAATACCCAGGGAAAGTCTTAGAAAAGATCTTAAGATCATACCTCATTTGTCCTTTTAGTCTATCACAAACAAACAATAAAACATAAACTCACTTATTCACCCAGCCAGCCAGCATGTAATAGATTTTCCAAGGTATTAGATTTGATCCTTTAGATACAAAGTAAATATGGTCAGGGCCACTATAGAATTAAAAATGTGGAGGGAGAGACTAGAGAACAGATATTACCATATAAGAAGTTCCATGCCATAATAGAAAAATGAAGTAAAGAGCTAGTGGGAATGCAAATAAATATTTGCTAAGTCAGGAGATAGCTGGGAAGATTTTGTAGAGGTGACTTTTGATCTAAATGAAGAGAAAATGGGAGGCTGGAGGGCAGGATTATGGTAGAGGTGACAATAAGTGCATAATTTTGAAGACACAAAAAACATGGGGCATGTGCCAAAAAGAAGTCAGCCAAGACCACTTACTACCTAATATAAATGATTTTGAGCAAAAAACTGGATCTATTTCAACTGGAAAATAAGGATAATGGTATCTTCCTCCAAGGGTTTCTGTGAGGAAAATGAGATGGTAAATTGAAAAAATGTGAGTACAATCTGGTCTGGCTGTCACATCCTGCACCCCTGATTTCGTGGCTTAACGAGCTGTTTTACCTCCTCCTCTCATTTCCCCCCAGAAGTTATCTACTTGGTGAAAGAGCACAGCCTTCCCCAGTCATGTACAATGGTCTAGCACAGTTTTGACACCATTTACTCAAAAAAACATTATTTTTCATCCCTCCCTCTCCCCGTTTTTTAACCAGATTTCCAGAGATCCATTGAACTACTCTCTGTGACACTCCTTAGAACTGCCCTGCAATTACTACTAGGGTCCTGATTCTCAATTTGAGCACCAGCAGTATCCTATCTAATAAAGAGATAATATGCAAATTGGCCACCACTCCAACACAAGATGGTCACCACAAGATAGTCAGCAAGGGAGGGCAGTTAGGGGTAACTGGGCTGGCAGAGGAGGACAGTTGGAGGGGACCCAGGATGGCAGAGGAAAGCAGTTGGAGGGGACCCAGGACGGCAGAGAGGACAGTTAGGGGTGATCAGGCCAGCAGGGGAGCAGTTAGGTGTCAATCAGGCTGGCAGGGAGTCATTAGGGGTGATCAGGTTGGCAGGCAGAAGCAGGGGCAATCAGGCAGGCAGGCAGGCGAGCGGTTGGAAGCCAGCAGCCCAGGGATCCCAGATTGGAGAGGGTGTAGGCTACGCTAAGGGACACTCCCTCCCTCTTCCAGTGCATGAATTTTGTACACCAGGCCTCTAGTCTATATAATAAAAACCTAAGCAACCTTTCTGGTGGAACGACTGGACAACCCATCACTATGATGCGCCGCTCAGCCAGAAGCCGGGCTCTTGGCTGGCAAGCACAGCTGCCATGGCAGGAGCTTCTCCTGATTCCGTGGCAGCACTACCAAGCGGTGGCAGCAGGAACAGAGGGCTGGGATGAGCGTGAGCAGCATGGCACCCACCTGATTTGGACTCCCCCCTGGCCGTCTGCCATTTGGCACACTGCTACATCCCCCAGGGGTCCCGGACTGCGAGAGGGATATCTGACTGCCAGCTTAGGCCTGGTCCCAGTGCCATTCTCTGTAGAAGGCACTCAGTCTAAACAACTCAGTGACTAAGGGAAGTGCAGGGAACTCAGAGTGAGCCTGCCTCTGCGCTTGACTCACACACTCGATGGTGTTTGCAGGACAGACTGTAGTGGCCCAACCCGTGCACATGCAGCAGCTGCTGAAGCTCAAGCAGCAGGCTGTGCAGCAGCAGGCCATCCAGTCACAAACTGGCAGTCAGACATCCCCGAGGGGTCCTGGATGTGAGAGCGCCGGCTGGGCTGAGACCCCACCTCCTCCCTCCCATTCCAGTGCACAATTTTCATGCACCGGGCCTCTGGAGTTTCATAAGCACCCACCCAATCTGTATATGTATTACTTCATACTTACAGGTTGAGGCTGTTCTGCAATACAGCAGTTGAAACACAACCAGAATTCACTCATGCTTATAGTCCAAAGTATAAATGAGCACCAAGGAAGTTTCCAAATCTCTACTCGGGAAGCTTCACAAAGCAAACTCCTCAGTATGATGATGTCCAAGTAATAATCTTAATACTTCTCTGAATTTTTGTTCTTGGCAGTCAAGTATCTTATGTAGTCAAATTAAGAAAAAGACAGAGTGTTTCCTTTCTTTGCTTGTGGTTCTAAGGAGACTCGTTTCTGAACCACCAGAAAGGTATAAATGTTGTCTTGGCTCAGGTAGTCTAAGAAAAAAAAAAAAGTAAAGAAAACAAGTTACTTATTTGTAGAAGCTTTTATTTCTTTCACTTTTTTATTGTTGGCAGTATTACAGATGTCTCCCACCCCCCCACTTTAACCTCCTCTGTTCAGCCCCTACCACCCCCCATATTCTTACCATCCTATTGTCTGCATTCATGGGTTATGCATATCCTATATAATAAAGAGGTAATATGCAAATTGACCCTCACACCCTCGCACAAGATGGCCAACTCCATGTGGACAAAGAGGGCCCGCCACATGTCCGGCAGGGAGAGTAGTCGTGGGTGATCAGGCTACCAAGCCAGGGCAGTGGGGGCAACCAGACCAGCAGGGAAGGGCAAGTGGGGGTGACCAGGCCGGCCAGCAGGGAGGGCAGTTGGGGGCAACTAGGCCTGCAGATGAGGAAGGATAGTTGGGGGGTGGGGGGAAACCAGGCCTGCAGGGGAGAGCAGTTAGGGGCAACTGGGCCAGCAGAGAGGGCAGTTGGGGGCGACAGAGTCTGCAGGGGATGGCAGTTGGGGGGAATCAGGCCAGCAGGGGAGCAGTTAGGTGTTGATCAGGCTGGCAGGGGAGTGGTTAGGGGGTGATCAGGCTTGCAGGCAGGCGAGCAGTTGGAAGCTAGCAGTTCCAGATTGTAAGAGGGATGTCCCAGATTGGAGAGGGTGCAGGCTGCGCCGAGGGACAACCCCCCTCCAGTGCATGAATTTCGTGCACTGGAACTCTAATAAGTATGTTAGAGTACCGTATTTTCTGGCGTATAAGACGACTTTTGAAACGAAAAAAAGCCTACTCAGACTGGCCAGAGTCAGAGAGGCGGTCTATTAAAAAAAGAACTGGTGTTGCCTTGGAAGTGGGGGGTAGTCTTATACAGTGAACATAGGCCTAAACCTATGTTTTAACTGTAAAATTAGGGGGTCGTCTTATACGCCGGAAAAATACGGTTTAAGTTCTTTGGTTTCTCTCCCCTCATCACCCCATCACCACTTTTATTTCTTAAATCTGTGATAAAATTAAGAATAAATATTTCCCCAAAAAAGTAAACACTGAAAAAAAATTCAACATTTTAATAAATTGATATTCATTCAACAAATATTTTCAAAGCTTTTTTGAGTATCAGGTTATTAGGGGTATAGCAGTGAAAGAAGATAGAAATCCTTGCCTTCCCAGAGCACTCTATTTTATGACTATAAAAGTTTAAACTGTTTTAATAAGTTTTTTAAAATCACTAATTCAAACATCATATAATAGTTTCTAATTCCAAAAAGAAATACTGATCATTTTCCTATAGGTTTCTTCAATTGAGACTTTTGTTCTCAAAGATGACCTAGATAGTAAGTAGCATAGAAATCAACTTTAGATATTCAAACAGCTATAACTCATCAATAATTGTAAAAAACAAAAACAAAAAAACAACAACAAAAAAAACACACACACACAAAAAAAAAACTATCACCTTCTCTATTGAAATTATAATTGTACATGAGAGATTATCAAGGATTAGATTAGACTGCATTTGAATCAAGACGTTAGGATCATGTTCCCACTATCATCAGAATAAGTTTCAGTCAAACCAGTTTACTAGATGTACCAGTTAATAATGCAGATTTTTTTCAATAGATGGAATTACACACATGTTGATATATATGTGATTTGATATGTATGCTATTTTGTTGTATTGACAGCAAGCTTCAAAACTTCATAGTCAAATTTGTTGAAGGTGTTAACATCACAGATATTTTACACTCAAAAATGTCGAATTTTGTCAAAAAAAAAAAGAGCATTTGTTTTAATTCATTATTTTATTTTGAAGAAAAGTGCTGCTGAATACTCTGGGAAGCTTATGGTGAAAACGCTCCATCTCAAGATACTTGTGAACACTGGTTAAAACGCTTTAAAAGTGATGATTTCTATGTGAAAGACAAAGGAAGTCTAGGTCAACTGAAAAAGTTTGAAGACCAACAATCATAAGCATTGTTGGAAGATGTGTCAAACTTAAAAACAACTTGCAGAAAGATTCAATGTTGCTCAGCAAACAATTTCCAATCGTTTACAAGCAATGGGAAAGATTTTAAAAGAAGGAAAATGGCTGCCACATCAACTGAATGAAAGATAAATGGAAAACTGAAAAGTCATCAGTAAAATGTTGCTTCAACAGCATGAAAGAAAGTCTTTTTTTGCATAGAATTGTGACTGGTGATGGAAAGTGGATTTATTTTGAGAATCCCAAATGCACAAAATCATGAGTTGATCCAGGTCCACCATCAACATCGACTGCAAGGCCAATGCTTTGGAAAGAAAATGCTCTGCATTTGGTGGGATCAGGAAGGTGTGGTGTATTATGAGCTTCTAAAACCAGGTGAAACCGTTAATACTGATCACTACCGACAATAAATAATCAATTTGAACCACGTTTTGATCATAAAACGACCAGAATGGGTCAGAAGACATGGAAAAGTAATTTTGCTCCATGATAATGCATCATCACACACTTCAAAAACAGTTAAAGACACGTTAAAAGATCTTGCCTGGGAAGTATTAACCCACCCACTATATTCACCAGATTTTGCTCCTTCAGATTACCACTTGTTTTGATCGATGGCAAATGCACTTTCTGAGCAGCCCGAAAACAAGAAAAGTTCTATTGGGATGTTATCTACAAATTACCTGAAAGATGGGGGAAATGTGTAGCTAGTGATGGACATTACTGTGAATAAAGCACTTCTTATGTTTCTCTTGAAATTGTCGTGTTTTCTTTGATTATAAAATCCACATTAACCAATACACCTAGTACACCCTGAGGTAGCCAACCAAACTACATCTATGAGAACTCATGTCTGGCTATCTTCTGTTAGACGGAGCCTATCTTTTCTTTGTAATTGATAATCTGTATACTTGAAGGTTGACCTTAGCCAACCATGTTCCAAATTTCATGCAGAAGATGATTCTGAGATTATAATGCAGCAACAAAAGAAAGGAGGAAGTCTATTTCCAGTCATCTCTAAGACCAGTTTGACCTGTTCACCGTTTCCCTCTAACGCCTGGAGCGGGTTCATATCACCTGCAGGCTACTACAACCAGCAAGGGAAGATGTCTGGTACACAGCTGGACATACAGCTCTTAGCCAAGCAGCAGCTCTGGAATCATCAGATTATAACTGAAGCAATGAATGCCATTCTCTCGGGAAAGCACTATCATGAGAAGCCCAGAGACCCTAAGGAACAGCAGCATTTAAAGGATGACTAGAGAAAGGGAAGTTCACAGGAGAATTGGGTGTTATCAGAAAGAAAGAGGAGGAGAACTAGCTAATGTGGTGTCACTGGAGCGTGTTTAAGAAGGAACTGAGGCCTGGCCGGTGTACTAAGTGGTTAGAGCACCAACCCTCACACCAAAGGGTTGCAGGTTTGCTCCCCCCGCCCCCAGTCAGGTCACGTACAGGAGGCAGCCAGAAGATGTGTCTCTCACATCTATGTTTCTTTCCCTCCCTTCCATTTCTCTGAAAATAAAGGGCAAACTATCCTCCGGTAAAGTTTAACAAAAAACCAACCAGCCAAACAAACAAACAAACAGAAGGAAGTGGCTACCAGTATTAACTGCCTTAGTGACAACAAAGTCTGAGAAATGTGATGCAGACACTTGGTGGCCTGGCGATAACAGCTTTAGTGAATCAGAGTGCTTTGAGAAGTAAGAGAATGAGAGTTCAAGTGTAAAAAATGTTTGCAAGAATACCGGATCTTAACTTTTAAAATATAGGGTAGGAAGTAGAGGAAGGGGGGGGAAAAAGCCGTCCTTGAAATGAAAAGATCAAAGGTGTATTAAATTTATTATTCAAAAAAAAATTTTTTGCCCCAAGTGGTAAATGATCAATCACATATTTATAAATGTTTGAAAGAGCTGTCATTCATTTATAAGCTATGCCAACTCTATATCAATAATAGGTATATTACAGGATCACAAAACCTTGAGCATTAAGTGAAATAAAATTTATGTTCACACAAAAATGACATGTTAAGTTTTAAGCATATGTTCAAGGAGGAAAATCAGAAGGAAGAAAATTTATATTCTTGCCATAGTTAAAATTTATTTTCTAGTGTAGGGATGAACATTCCTCATCTCACCTAAACTCCAAACTAGGAAGTGACAGTCTTGAAACTGGCTTTGTCCACTAAATTAGGATAATACTGTGAAAGTTTATAAGCTTAAAAGAACAGTATGCTTCATATATCTCCTTCCTAGAAAGAATGTAAGAGCAAAAGGCTAAATTCACAATATTACAAACATTATTTCAGGGTTGCTATTTAACATGTTTAATTCCAACCTGAATCAAAGATCTTGGCCATTAAGAATTCATTGTGAAATAAAATCTCCTTCAACCAATTCTATGAGAACAAACATGCCTTTGTTTTAAACTGAAAATTCTTTATACTCATCATCGTTGCAGCACAGTCAGATATGGAGCTACTCTGAGTCCAAATCTCTGTATTTGAGAGCTGATGTCTTAGAGATATATGGAGCTACTCTGATGTATTGATTATTTCCATCATATTTTCTTTTTTTTTTTATAAATATATTTTATTGATTTTGTACAGAGAGGAAGGGAGAGAGATAGAGAGCTAGAAACATCAATGAGAGAGTCATCGATCAGCTGCCTCTTGCACACCCCCTACGCAACCAAGGTACATGCCCTTGACCAGAATCGAACCTGGGTCCCTTCGGTCCCCAAGCCG